ATCCAAACAAGACGGTTAAGTCGACGTCATATTGCTGGCAGGATCTGGAAGATTTTTTTTGTACAAAGCAAGGAGCAGTGTCTGAGCCATTAAAAACAAAATTGTACAAATTTTGAAATTTCAGTTTTGTTGGACTTTAGTAAAAGTTTACTTATGGAGTACTGAGATGCTTAATCCACTGTCTATTTGAAGGAATTTGTCAAACTAGGTGTTTTGCAGTTTTTTTTAGTATTGCAAAGCGTTTCAATCAAGTGGAGTGGGTTTTTACACGAGATTTCACTAAGAGGTCAAGAAGGGCGGTAATTCACACCAATTTCTTTGTTACGTCTTATGAACTGCGTAAGTGAACTAGAAGATTGCTTTTGGATTTGGAAGAGTAAGTTGTCGGCATATAGTATTGTTGCATTGTTTACCAGAGGTATTCCTGGTGATTTATGTCTGATTTCGTATGAGGATTATTTAGAAACGGAATAAGGAAGAGTCTAAGAATATTTGGTTCTGTACTGTTTCGGCTCAATGTATCAGCACTGTCGCGTCTCCTTAAGCTAATACTGTATTTGTACATCGCCTTTTTCTATTTTAAATATTCTTTTAAATAATGTGTATGTTTTAAAGCTTTGGTTGTAGTGGCGTCGTATATTTGCAGTATTTTGACTCATAACTTACGGCATTGATGGATCATGCTTTGGTTACATTTTTGCAGAAGTTTTAATTTGAAGCTAACGAATTGAACCATACTTCTACCGCAGTTACTTTTTTATTTCTTCTGACTGACTTATTAATGATCCTGATGGTGTTTTAATTACTTTATACCGCTCTTTTTCTTAAAATCCGGTAATATCTGGAAATGTCGGCAACGTATGCACGATCAGATTACAATGATGAAAATTTACATTGTCGTGATGGTTCACTGTTGCGAAAAAAGCGGGAACAGTGGGCTAAAGAAAAAGGTTGGTTAAATTTTCTTCCTTTTTTAAGGCTCTTTGAAAAAGTTGCCAATTTTTGGAGTTTGATTTAAATTACAGTCAAAATGTCAGATAAATAGAGTCGTCGGTATTTTTGTATTGATGACGTTGCTTGAATCTGTTTGTCAAATGGTGTTTTTAAGCTTGACTTTTGAGTGTTTTAGTCGTTATGAGAATAAGCATTCTAAACGACAGTAAATTTTTTAAACAATGTTTGCTAACAGTGATTTTTAATATTAAAATAAAAATTTTGAGCGCCTAAGCTGTGCCTTTTATTTAGAGGCTTCGTTTAATTTTTGATGAAAGATAGTATGGACGTTTGTAGTGATTGTAAAAGCAGGTCTTTTAAAACCTCTTAACACTGTTTTCGTTCTATGCTAATGTAGCTATTTTTGGCATAGTCTTGTTGTCAAATGAAAATTGAACTCGCTGACAGATGGAAGGTTTCTTGTGCGAGTGCTCGTTTTCTTGTAGCAAAAACCTGTTAATGTCTTCGATCAAGAAAAAATTAAACTTTGGTGAGGCATTGTTTCAACATTTTTACTGGGTAGCGAAGAAGAAAAGAATGGATAAGTCGTTTTAAAAACTCTTGCTTCTTTCATAACTGTAGGAATTTTGTGAAATAGTCCTGTAAAAAAGTTAGAAAGCAGGAAAAAATGATTTCTTGCGCTATATTGGTTATGTGGGAAGAAATATTTGTTATTAATGAACCAGCTGTGATGTTTACCAAACTTTTCATCTTGTTTGGTTGTTAAATCATGGCTAAAAAAGCTGTTTTACTATGAGCTGAAGAGAAGGAAGTGAAATTGAATGCGGTAGCGGGTTTGTAAGTTTTTTTGAATTTAGTATGATTTTCTTTTGAATTTTCAAATACTCGCGAAACAGGTTTTTTTGTGTGGATTACTATGAACACTTTAATCAAAGTAAGGCTGGGTAACGATACACCATTGCAACAGTTTAATCATTTTTAGATCTGAAGGAAAATAAAGGCTTTTTTTGACAGTATAGTTGGAAAATTTTTTTGTGTTTTAGTTTTGTAATCTTTTTGGCGTAATGAAAAGTGAAGAGCGAGGTGTTTATATTTGTTGCCAATGATGGTCGGCGGTGGGTTTTTTTTGTAATTATGTTAGGGAATCGAAAAGACAGAAATCCTCGCGCAAGATAAGCTTTAAAAATTTAATACTGGTTATATGAAGTAAACGAAAACAGGAGAATTTGTTTAAACTCAGTCAATTTTGAGAATTCTCTAATTTCTGCTGAAGATGATTTGGGAAGTGAGGAATTAACTGAAGAAGTTAATGTACGTAGTGTGGAATGCTCAGTGGGGAAAATTTCCCCTTATATGCATCTACCAGTTTTAGACCTTCGTGTCTTTTATCAGAATTTATTCTTCGTTTGACAACATAGACTTTTTTTAGAGACGTTGTTATAAAAAATGATAGTTTAAGATTGTTTGTTACCATTTTGTTTTTAGTGTCTGAGTGCGCAGTGACCGTTTTTGAGTGCGAAAACGGTTATTTCAAACGTAGTTGCAGAAAAAACTGTTAAGAAAGTTTTACGGAAATTTTCTTTGTTGAATAAGTAACTATTTTCATTAAAGTTACATCAGTATGCTGTAACCAAATATTAGAAAAAAATTTTTTTGCACGTTTTATTTGTTTATTTTTTAGCCGAATTAGATTCGTGGTTCCCATTCGGTTCCCCAGGCGGTGGTGCGCCTAATAAGAAGTATGAACCTATTAGTCCAGTTCAGCCTGAAAAACCGGTTAGCCTTCGTTCTCTTTTTTCTTTTTTTTGTATGAATGCTTGATTGTCTTGCTAGTAGTACATGGCAACTTTTGGACTTCTTATTAATTTGAAATTCTTGTTTGTTATTTTAAAAAAGTGTTTGTTATATAAAAGGTGTTCTTGTTTATTTTCTGAAGAAAGTACAATATTGGCTGTTATTACCATAAATAAAGTAGCGATGGTTTAAACGGGATGAGAATAACCAGTTTCGCTCCTGCTAACAAGCATAATGAATTATTGAAATGTTCAGAGTGGTTAATCACGACTATAAATACTAGCTGTGAAACATTTTATAAAACAGATTTATATACATATTTTCTCGGCTTATAGGAGAATTTATTTTTTTGTTTTGTATAAATGAGAAACCTATTTTCCTGGAGAAAAAGTCATCGTTCTTTTAGAACCGCGAAAAGATCGATTTTCATGTTTTGTAATTTCTTCTAATAAGACAACGCAGCTATCAGTATTTGATTTTGACCATCTCAGTTTTTGTTACTGAGTTTAGTTACTTTTTTTATAGGAAAATCGTCCATCATCGTGTCGTTCTAACGGTGACAGTGGACGTTGGAGTGATTCCGAGAATGTAGGACCAAGTAAAGAGGTTGATTTTTTTTCAACGTTTTTTCTTCTCAAATATTGCGGCTAAGTAATCTAGTCTTTACATCAATGTTCATCCATAATGCTCTGTAGTGCTGCGCAGTTTTTTGGTCTCTGATTCAGAATTAGCTGTGTTTTGATTTCCTGCAATTTTTAGTCTTGTCAGCAGTAGAATAACTCAGCAAGGCTGATACTGAGCAGTTTCGTAGACGAATCATATTATTTGCTTTAGTGATGATCGCTGGCTATTTAGCACGTCGAACAGATTAAGCATTACCGTTGCAGCGGTTATATTCGCTTTCTTTAATTGCGGTGTTTGAAAACTTTCAATAATTTCTTTATCTTGCGGATTTTAATGGTCGATGGATGGTCGGGAAAGTAGACTTTTTTGTATACTTTTACTTCTTGTTGTACAAGACCACTTTACAACCCATTTGATCCTACACCTCGCCAGCTTGAAGTTATTATTATTTCCACTGTTCTTCCTGGCATTTTTTTTTT